TAGGCCGTTTCGCATCTTTCCTGAAGCAAAACTCAACGTCCAATTCGAATTCCAAAATAAGTCGTTAATAAAAGTTTTTTCCATATGATGCCGACTTTATGAATGACACTGTATACAGAATGAACTTTTTGATGAAAACTACAATATTGAAATTTTTCAAAAACGGTCCTGGTTTGTCAGTCGATTAGAGTTTAGTAAAGAAATATTCCTTGAAAATATCAGACGAATCGAAGGAGCCGTTGGGATAAAGTTATGACCAAAATATATGTCTCTGAACTTTCAAAGGGACCCACGGCTTGCGATGATGTGTTTTTCCAACTGACTCTGCATGAACTATAGGAGTATGTACGGTTCCTCATGACTCACCCTGTATATACAGGGTGTTATTTAAGTACGTGGCCAAACTTGAAGGGGTGATTCTTTGGGTGATTCTAAGACAAAAAGTTCATGTAAACATAGGTCCGGTAATGCTTCGTTTTCAAGATACAGGGTGTCAAAATTTTTAAAAGAAATCGTTTTTTTCGTAAATATCTTAATAACCCTTCAACCGATTTTATTGAAATTTGGCAGTGTTATTCAAGGTCGTAAAGGGCTAATTCAACCCTAACTATATCAAAAATATCAGTAAGTCCCCAGTTTTTGATGGTTTGGTAGTTGAAATGTTTTATTGTGTATTGTCACAGGGATGTGCAATGAAGTGATTTTTATGTTTTTTCTCAAAACAAAGCAAGATACGAGAAAAATTTCAGATACTTATGAAAAAGTTGTAATTTTAGTTGCTCAATGTGAAACAAATACAAAAATTGCAAAAAAATCAGTGGCGTACATTTTTTCTGTCAAAAATATTGGTTACAGTGCCTTCCGGGACGCCACTGGACATGATAATTTTGATATAGTTAGGATTAAATTAGCCCTTTACGACCTTGAATAACACTGCCAAATTTCAATGAAATCAGTTGAAGGGTTATCAAGATATTTACGAAAAAAAAACGATTTCTTTTAAAAATTTTGACACCCTGTATCTTGAAAACGAAGCATTACCAGACCTATGTTTATATGAACTTTTCGTCTTAGAATCACTCAAAGAATCACCCCTTCAAGTTTGGCCACGTACTATAATAACACCCTGTATAAATGCGTTATAAATGCGAATACAAGGTTTTTCCGTTTTTATCGAAAGAAGATGCTATATACAAGGTGTCCCAGAACAACGTACCATAAATTCAACAGGGTAAATTAGAGACCAAATTAGGCCGATTGAAATCAACTCACCTTTATGCGAAAATGAATGTTGGAGCCGTGAAAGGGCGATGAACAACAATTTTATTTCCAGATTTCCTTAATATTTCGTAATCTTTGGAAGGTACTGCTCTGAAATTCGTAACATACAGTTACATTGATTTCTATCAAAGATAATGAGAAATACTTAACTCTCTGTATATTGAGTGAGATGGTACTACATGTTTTCAATGCACATTCACTATAGTAAACTGTCCTACGAATTTCAGAGCAGTAACTTTCAAGGATTTCGAAATATTGAAGAGAATCTGGAAATAGAATTGTTCTCCATCGCCCTCTCACGGCTCAATGATACATTTTCGTATGAAGATAAGTTGATTTCAATCGGTCTATTTTGTTCTCTAGTTCACCCTGTAGAATATGTAGTACTTTGTTCTTCACTATGAATCAAAATGAGGAAATTATCACTATTTTGAAATCTCGCAGATAAAGACTGGGAGATGACCCTGTAAATCTACGTCTAAAAAAGTGGAATGTCATCAAAATTGTAACAAATGGGGTTTCTGCGGAATGCATCTTCTTGGAAAATTCGATGCATGTCATAGAGAATGAAAATATAACAATTTTGAAAAACAATCGGCAACTTTTTACATCTTTTATAAAAATCACTCTCAATTTATTTACAATATTTTAAATGTACAGTATTATCAATTACCCATGAAATACACTAAGTATATTATTGAAAACACATACCATGGCTACACTAAATTATTGAATGCAAATCTGGTTTTCATATCTGGTACAGAATTTCTATATTCCGAATGAAAAATATATTCTTGGAGTATCAATCTGGATGAAACATCAAACAGAGATTTTGGTCAACTAGACGGCTTGATGTACTGGTTGTTGGTTTTGAATAGAATCATCGCGATTGTTTCCTCGATTATATACAAAAAAAAATCTAGTGGAAATATAAATCTTATATTCACGCCCCCATCGTATCTGCTTTAATTTATGCATAACAAACAATGTTGAATGCATGAGTAGTAAGGTTCCATTCGATCTACTCAATTGTTTAAATTTCATTTATACGCTGTGTCTCAAACAAAGCGTAGCGACTACGTTCATTTTTTCAAATGGGATCATTGCATTTTCATATTATTAGTTCAATTTGATGAACTGTTTTATAAGACGAAAGTAAATAGTTCTGGAACTGAGAAGAATTGTAAATTATTATTTCCACTATTTTAGCACCAGTTCAGTCTGGAAACTGTCACAAATGAAACAAAATGTATTTCACTTCCCTATTCTAACCTTTTGAGAGCTCTCAACATTTTTTGTGATGTAAAATAAAGCAGTTACGGGAGGGCGAGCGAGGGACTTTTGGTCCTCACTGCATAATTTGTTTCCATTTGCAGAACTATATCAATCAATGTATCTATACAAAAAACAACTTCTAGTTGCCTTCACAAAAGTACCTATACTATGTTGTATAAGAACAACATTTATCTCTGTCTGATTTTCATTATTTCAACTTTGAACGCATATTTTTTCTTTCTCGACAACTCAAACTAACACAATCCTTTACAATGTACACTCGACTTTTCTATTAATGCACTCTTCGTTCTTTTCCCGATTCTAGGGAGTAGGCGTCACGAATCAAAATGAACATTCTAACAAAGATGGCGGTTTTGTCAACAAGTAAACAGATGTGTTCCAAACGAGCCTACCGCGCTTCTTCGACAGATTGAAATAGCGAAATATATTTTTTCTATTACTGCAATGAAAAATAGCGCATTTCTCATAGCTTACTTAGTTTCAAAACCATGTATTGCTTATACTGTGAGAAATATTTTTTCTCACGGCACTTTGCCAACACCACATACATTCCCATGGAGGATCAACAAAAATCGATCAAGACTTGGCTGATGTTCAGCTTTGAATAGTCGTCACAACTGTCAGAAGAAGTTTTTCAAATTCTTTAGGGTAGTTCTCATTAGTGCTTTCGATAGAAATCGCATTTTCCATCAAATATTGTTCCAACAATTCATAATAAATAATATGATGTATATACCGAGATGTGACGATTTTGATAAATATAGGGGAGAACCGCTATGAAGTGGACACTTCAAGAAAAACAACGGAAACAAAATTTTATAGACCATTGAATTATCCAAAACTGCATGAGCGGAAAGTTCCATCAATATGTTTGTAAAATAAAATGAAAAAAAAATTCAGACAACTTCATGGTCTGAGTAATATTCAAATTCGAAAAAAGTTGCTTTCGTCCATTTCAAAACATCGATGTATTGAAACGGACAGTGAAGGTTTTGAAGAGGACAGTAGTGGTTTTGAAAATTATATTCGCAATAAAGAACATTAATTGCTTCAAAAATAACTTTTATTCGAACAGGAACTATCTTAGGAACAGTTATTACAATAAAAATGTCGAATACCCTGAAGGCCACAAGTTTCATGTGCCCATGTTCAATCGCAGTATTGTCGTCTTTGGTTCGAGTATTAGGGTTTTTGTTCTCCTTTGGTATGAATTGGTGTTGTTTCTTGTTGGGTTTAGATTTTGGAAGTCGGGAATGTTGACTCAGCGGAACTTCATCATCAGAATCAGACGTCCGTTTCAACACAGCGTCTGATGTCCACTTCAAAACAACACACGGTTAAACTCGAAATGACATAACGAAAATTAAATTGAGAAATATTCCACGAGATCTACCTCTACATTTAGGTACTAGAGTAACTTAGTTTTAATCTCATCAATCTGAAATTGACTTAATTTCAACAGCCCACCTGTGACATAGTTCACTATTTCCACAAATAATTTACTTTTTAGCCAGATAATAATAACATGCATGCTGTCGACTCATAATCAACTGCGTCGGCGCGCAATTTCGGTCGTAGTGGGATCTGGGTACAGGGTTGTCATATGTGAATACGAAATATGCGGTCATATACAAACACATAGCAACTACGACAACTGTCCGTTTCAAGACCCGTCCATTTCATAGCGGTTTCCCCCTACCGCCAGAGACAGAGATATAATGCAAGAAGCTGCGAAAGTTGGATTTGTTTCCGGAAATTTCAAGAAAAAAGTATGAATTGACATATTGTTACGGAAAATTTATGGAATTTAAAAAAGTACAGAAATAAATTCTTTTTCGTAAAGTGTACTTTTTGGAAATACTTTGAGGAACTAGGAAAGGCGTCTACTCTTTGGTCACAATATCCAATGTGGCATAGTGCCACATTGGAAAATAAATCCCAATAAGTCACATTACTCGGATTCTTTGAATAAGTGCAGTTGTAGAAAAAGTATAGTGTGCAACATGTGGGGAAAAGCACTTATCTCACCCGTGCATTTGCATCACTCGCCATTCAGGCTCGTGCCACAAATCTTAGCACTCGTGAGAAAGGTTGAACTTCTCCCACTTGTTGCACAATATACTATTCTTGAATGAAAAAAAACTACAGGTAAAACTACGATTACTGACTGTATTTTCTGGTCTATACCAGACACATACACCACACGCAATAAGCTCAACTTTTGTACATTTTGATTGGTTTGATTTCGTGACCATCTGACTCCCTAGACGTGAATGTTGCAGATACTGGGTGCATTATAAGAAGAGTCTAGTGTCCTTAGCACTAAGGCAAATTGGTCCATCTTTATAATATAAGCGAATGTAAGGCAAGATTTCGACTCTGTACATGCGAATACCGTCCAACTTCTAATCACGTCACTAACGTCATTCGTCCCAAAGACACAACTGTTTTTGGGCCACGTAGTAGGAGAACAGATGGCATATCCTGCACGTTTTTATGCCGCACCTGAAATGATTTCGGGGCCGTCAGAATGAATGGGTCTCTCAAAATGTAACACCCCTTTAACTTTTGGGTTTGAAGATAGGGTGAATATGGAAGATGGATGAAATAAATCGATTTTAAATTGACCATATGAAAGGAAATTCAATGAAAACAAATAATTTTGGATTGTTCGCTTCATTTTGGAATTTGAGGGTGGTTTTAAATACTTCGAGCAGAACACACTGCTTACTGCATTCATTATACTCACAAATATATAGTATTGTTAAGTTTGACAAATTGATTTCAATGGATTCTTTGTTCCAGATTAATGATGAAAATCCAGAACCATTCGTCTTCAGCACTAATTTACAGTTACAACTGTATATTAGAAAAAATGTAGAAACCAGTTTTTTTCCAACACTAACCGGTGAAATCACCATTATTGTATTATTCGAGGATTTCCTCCAATGGAAACTACCACTTTTTAAACCTAGGTAAATAATGATAAAGTCATAATAAGATATTACCTAGGTATAAAAAAACTGTCGATAGTGTTAATGATATTATGTAATATACACTCATAGATACCGATGTGAAACCAACAAAAAATGATATATTCTGGAAACCAAATATAGTTGAAACTACAAATCTCATTACAGCTGGAAGCAACTTTCGAAGTATGAAGAATGTTTGGAATAATATCGGATTATCAATTCAAATGTCAATACACATCATTCTGTTATGGTTAGTATCCTCCATTGCTTAGATATAATATTATCTAATCCTCGTCTTTGCTTCATGTTATTCATATTATTCTGTCAAAAGTATAATTAATAACCGGAGGCTGATATTTATTTGTGGCATTTTCTGTTTATCAATAATTTTTCTGAAATTTTCGAAAAATGCATTAAAAACAAGCTTATTAATTTTTTGCGAAGACTGATATCATTTCTGATTCGCAATATGGATTTCTAGAGAATAAAAGTACAGAAAAAGCTGTTTTTGAGGTAGTGAATCAAATTAATACCTGATGCTCTCAAAATCAAGAGAAATGTATAACTGTGTTTCTGGACTTGGCCAAGGCATTTGATACTGTGGATCACAAAATTCTACTCCAGCGTCTATCGGATACAGGGATAGAGGGTATCGCCCTTGAGGATTATTTAACGAATATATTGCAAACAATTGAAGTGAACTACTCGATCAGTAACCCGCTACCAGTCATCCGAGGCGTACCCCAGGGAACTGTCCTGGGACCGATTCTATTCCTGTTATATATCAATAATATATTCAAAATCTCTGATTTCAATGGCAAAAAAACGTCTTTTGCTGATGATACAGCTATCACCTTTGCTGAAAAAACGTGGGAGGAAGTATATTCTCTTGCTGAGTCTGGTGTCCAAATTATTTTTGAACTTTGAAGCATCAACGTGAGAAAAACCAAATATATTGCATTTTCGTCTACTAACCAGAGACCATTCTAATAAAAATAATATACAATTAACTAACATAACATGTACAAACTTACATACCTGCAACTGCCTTACTATAAATAAAACAGACAAAATTAAGTACTCAGGGGTGATATTGGATCGATATCTTGTGGGGTGAACATATTGAAAATAACGCTAACAGACTTCGTAAGGAAGTCTACGAGTTTTATCGGCTCAGAAACATACTAAATAAGAAGATGATACTAACTTTGTATGATGCCTTGGCCAAGTCCATAATACGTTACTACATAATAGTGTGGGGAGGTACTTTCAAGTCTTCACTATGCAATTTAGGAAGGTTCCAAAACTCATTGATCAGGATCATAATGAGGAAAGATCGGAGGTATATAGTACTCAAACACTATATGAAGAATCTGGGCTACTCGGTGTACGGAAACTCCATACCTTTCAATGCATATTATGGACTGCCAGCTCACAAACTACATTCGTCCAGCAAGTATATAATACGCGCATTTGTCACACCATGTTCCACGCTGCAGACTCACGCATAATCAAAAATTCATCTCATACCTCCGACCAGAACTTCACAATCCTCTCCCCATGTCATTGAGGAGTATACAGAATATACATAATATATAAGTTCAAAAGAGAAATAAAACAATTTGTTAACGAAAATTTCCGAATGCTCGAATTGTTAATGAACAGATGAATAATCATAATTTTTCGCTCTCCCAATCAAACCACCAACCACAAACATTGTTTCTTTTTCATTTTGCTTGAAACACTTTTCCTCCCTTTTTCTCTCATCCTTTTCTACTCCCATCTTCCTCTCCCTTTCTATTAATCTCTCCCTCTCTCTCTCTCTCAGTATAAAAATAAATGTATGATCTATTATTGTAATCAGTTGATAATTATTTGCTATCATAACATTGTAGCACACTCAGTCTCAGGAATACTATTTTGGTTGCTGGCTACAGTAAAAGATCGCTTAGGTAGCCTTAGCCTTATTCTTCTTCCTAGGAATACTGACTGAACCTCGTTTTCCTACCTCAAATATCTATTTGTATCAATATTATGTATCGTTATCTATCTGAATTGAATACAATTACTTATACTTGTTATTAGGTGTAAAACCTGTTGGAAATAAAAGCTTTTTTAAGTGCTGAAAACAATTGGTTTCGACATGCTGGAGTTCATCACTGAGGAGTTGAAATAAGATCGAAAGCGGTTGCCCGTCATCTCCGATGACGAAAAAATTCATCGAATCAATCACATAAATATATCCAAATAGAGTTCAAATTCGAATACCTGTAGTTCATCACGGAGTTCCTGGATTGGCCCTTGCCCTTGCAGTACTTGAGTCCGCAGGGGTACCAACCGATGCATAGCTCCAGGTGGCACTGGCAGGGTTGCCACATGTTCTTCGAGTCGGTGCACGACGGAAGGACCTGAAGGTCGTTCGATGTAGGGAACTTTCTGAGAGCGGGCTTGTATGACGTCACTGGGATGCCTGCAACAAGAAACATTTCATAATATTCCATTCATCACTTCTACGAAATCCTTCTTGTTGGATAATTGTTCTAGAGCTATGGCCTTGAAAAAGCCTAGCATCGTTGGGGCGAAAACTCTTACCTTACGACTAGAACAGAACATGTTGAAGTCAGGATCGAATAACTACATCTGATCGATAGATACATCACACGTAGCATGTAATGCCTAAATGAGATAAAAAATCGTAAGCTGTTCAACGAGTCATCGATTTATAAAGCTGTTAGATAATTATATAAACATCTTCCAGTCGATTTCAGAAATATCGTATCTCCAATTCATTTTAGGTCTTTAGGAGATCTGTGAAACAACATCTCATCAAAGGAGAATATTATTGTGTTCAAGAATATTTAGCCAAAGATTGGAATAATTCAAGTTGAATTTTTTATGACATGATAGCTCCTGACGGAATACTCTTAATCATTTAGGTTTATGTTATCAATTAAGGACATATACTTTTGATTCGTATTGATACTGTCTTTTTCATTTCTTTCATTATTATTCTTTTATTAGTATGAGTATGATTGTAGCATCACTTTCTTGCTATAGATACTGTAATATAAGATATATCTCATTCATTAGGTATGTATGACTTTCTCAATGAGGATTTCATTTTCTTCAGACAATGATTATATTTTGATTGATTGATTGGCTCCTGTTGATCCCTCGCTGACGCAGTCGGGAGGAATTCTACTAATAGTTCATTCTGACCACTTGTCGTCGGTACATTGGCAACAAGTCAAGACAAGATTTTTTGAAATTTCTCGACTTTTTCCCAAGACAAGACAAGAAGTTGTTATCAAGACAAGAATTCTTGTTCTGACGACCCCTAGTACACACATTGACTTACATAATTTGGTAGGGAAGGAATTTGGGAAAAACAATTAGAAATAACTAATAAAATATTTTAACCAATCAATTTTTCACCTTGACATCTCCACAGAAGAAGAGGTTAGGAAGATAGAAAACAGATGACTGTATACACATCGACTTATATACTTACCATAGGAGAGAAGCAGCATACCTTGGAAGAGGATACATTCTTGGTAAAAAACGATTGGAAATACCTCGAGGAATCAAATTTGTTTACCCTGATTTTCTCACAAAAAAAAAGGTTGAGATCATTGAAAAGGAATGGATATATACACATTGACTTACATCCCATGAGAGAGGAGCAACATACCTTGGAAGAAGAGCAATTTAGAAACAACTGGATATCTCAAAAAATCAAGTTTTTCAACCATTTCAACACCCTGATTTTTTCACAGAAAAATATGTTAAGATGGAAAGAAAAAAGTGGCTGTAAACACATTGACTTACATACCTTGGTAGCAATTTGGAAAAGATCGATTGAAAATACCTCTAGAAATCAAATTGTTAACCAATCAATTCTTCGCCTTGATTTTCACATTTAAAAATAGGTTGAAATGGAAGAAAATGATAGACTGTATACACGCATTGACTTACATACCTTGATTTCTTCTTGATTTTCCCACATAGAAATAGGTTGAGATGGAATACAATGAAAGACTGTACTTACATACCTTGGGAAAGGAGCAACATACCTTGGAAGAAGGCGAGTTGAAAAGAAAAACGATTGAATACCTTGAAGAACCAATTAAAAATACAAATCTAATCAATCAATTGTTCACCTTGATTTCCTCACAGAAAAATAAGTTGAGATGATTAGGTTAGGTTTAGCTAAGGTTCAAACGTGAAAGGGCCCATGTCAAGCCCTCCACTGCGGCCAATGGCCAATTGTGGCTCACCCTGTGGGTATATTTCTCCCAGTATATCTTGGCGAAATTGAGGAGTACGTTGGGAGAACAATTCATCAGGTTTTCTGGCCTTACTGTTTTATTGCCAAATGTTGAAAATCTGATTCTGGCCGCTCCAGGGTATGTATGTACATAAAATGTTGGTCGTTTCATCCTCCTCCATGCATAGACGGCACTCTGAATCTTGTGCAAGTCCGATTTTGTGCATGTGGTGTTTGAGTTTGCAGTGACCAGTGAGCAAACTTCCTATAACTCTGAGATGTGCTCTTCTGAGTTCTAGTAGTTCGTCAGAGTCCTGTTTGTTCCTTGTACAAACTCCTTGTCTTATCTTGAGGAAAAGTCAAGAAATTTCAAAAACATCTTGTCTTAACGTTCTACTTGACATATCATTTCTTGTCTTGACTTGAGCAATTTCAAGATCTTGAAATTTCTCGATTGACCGGTGACACCGTACATGGTGATTTCCCGTCTTGAGATGAAAACAAGATCCTGAAATTTTCAAGAAGTTTGCGACCCCTAGTATACAGCTATTCTTTTCCTAACATTTTAACCCATATGTATACACAGCCCCTCTTCTTCTATCATCTCAACCTATTTTTCTGGGAAAACATCAAGTTGAAGCATTGATTGGTTCAAAAATATGATTTTTCTGAGGTATTTTCCATCCCTTTCAATCCTGTAAGAGGCTCGTCAACTTGGTTGTGTTGTCCGCAAAGTTGTCCAATATTTGTCCGAAACCAGTGCGGCAATTGGTTCAGCAGAAATAGTTGAACACCCGGTACAGGCGCCCGTTGGGAAACATCGGCATCGGATACCGAAGTGACGACCCCATTTGTCGAATTTGCATTCCGTGATCCTTGAAATACCCACTTAACCCCAACGAACTGCGGTAAGGACTCTGGAGGAACAATCGTGCTTGTCCAAACTTGACACTCGAATTAGTGTCTTCCCTTCGAAGATTGAAGGTGTAGAATGGGTTGCATGAATAATCTGTAGGTCACTAAAGCAATATTGGAGAAGAATAATTGGGCGTGACGGAATGAGGACATTAGGATTTGTTCATGTGTTCCATACTTATAGATGATATAAATTTTTTCAAGCTATTGGAGAACACGATAGGGAATCTCTTTTATGTTTTATTGGACTTTTTTGTAACCTTCGGAGCTTATGAGTTCTTGGAAATACTTATTCTGGCGGAGAATTTCAATTCTATAGACGAACGAGTTTTATTGATGATAATAACGAGCGTATATAGACTTTGTTGGAATAATTGTGGTACAGGGTGATTCACCATAAATGTCCCCCCTCTATCTCACTTATTTTTGAACCGTTTCAAAAATTTGAAAGATAATCTGAAATCATTTTTCAGAAATTTTTTTCCCGTTGTATCAGAAAATACAGGGTGCTCGGAACAAACGATCTACAGAGTACTAATTGATTTTTCAAAATGGAACACCCTGTATTTCATTGTATTTTTAGATTCTTCCTGATGAGCTGATTTCATCAATGTATCATACTTGAGGTTTAGCGGGAATGATTACAGAGATATAGGGTGTTTAAAATCGAGGTTTTCCAACTTTAGGATTTTTTTGTGCCGAAACTATTCATTATTGGTCAAAACGGCTCCTATGTTCCCATCTCAACTTTTGATTTACTATCTAGTGAAATTTAATTGGAACATTTACAAGGTGGTTCAAGATTCAGAATTCTGGTCACCCTGTATCTGTTCCAATTATTAAATGTCAGTAGATAGTAAATCAAATGTTAAAATACGGACATGAAAACCGCGTAACCGATAATGAATAGTTTCGTCACAAAAAAATCCTAAAGTTAAAAATCTCGATTTTGAACACCCTATATCTCTGTAATCAGTCCCGCTAGACCCCAAGTGTGATACATTGATCAAATCAGCTCTTCAGGGAGAATCTAAAAATACAATGAAAAATAGGGTGTTTCATTTAAAAAAAACAAATAGTACCCTGTAGATCGTTTGTTCCGAGCACCCTGTATATTCTGATCTAGCGGAAAAAAACTTTATCGAAAATCATTCAAGATGATATTTCAAATTTTAAAATCGGTTCAAAAATAACTGAGCTAGAGGGGGGGACATTTATGGTGAATCACCCTGTACCAGACCTCGATATATCAGGCACATCGATTTCTGCTTTTCTAGAGAAAAAACAGGCTCGCGAACTTGAAGGGTTTTGGTGACTTTGAATTCCGCTAGGTCATTGGTTTCTTGGGCTGTTATTTCAAAAAGATCTCCACTGACAGCGTTGACCTGCCTTCGCCGAGAGTTCTCTGATTTTTGTGAAGGAATCAGAATTATCAAAGAGAACGCAGTGTGGAGAGTGCTTCCATCTGTGAAGCTCTGAATAGATCAACAGATCATTGATACAAAGAAATGAACAATGTTGATGCCAAAATTGATCTTGTGGAATGCAGGAATTGGTGGGTATGATGTCAGAAGATACTTCGTACATCACTACATGGAGCGATCTGCCTGAAAGATGCGATAAAGCTGGCATTGCTGAGGTGGTAAGCCAGGTAGTTCGTGGAAAATCACTCAGTGCCAATCACGGTTGAAAGCTACAATACATCGAGGAAAATTAGTAAGCGTCATGACTACTTAGTTTTCTAATACTCTGCCGCGTTCATAAGAAGGTATTCAGTTCTAGTGACCATTGGTCTCCTGTTTTAGTGTGCCAGTAAGAATCGCTTATGTTCATGGTTTCTTCTGTTTTACAGCGATATTTTTTGTTCACTGAAAAATATCGGATATATGAAGTCATTTTGAGACAGCGCTTCAACCAGTACCAGCTATTTTGCTAAAATTCCTGAAAGAAGATTTGCAAGAGGATTTTTTCAATATCTTATTTCACACAAAAGTGAATTCCCACTTTGATGAAATATTTGTGTCGTAATATGTAAAGTTTTTGGGTATATACTTATAGATGAAACGTTAAATTAGGATCTCCGTATCAACAGTGTCTGAAAGAAACTGAATACAGCTTGTTTGCAATAAAGCTAATAAAAAATTGTATTGCCGACGAGATTCTCTCGAGTATTAGTTTTGCGAAGGCATTCTCACATATTTCTCTTAACACAATGACATGGGGGATGTGGAAGATATTTTAACAGAGTTTTTGTGAGGCAGCCACGTATTTTAAGACTAATTTTTGAC